AAAGTTTGTTAGCACTAATTTAGTAATTGCTTTTTTAAACAAGAATTTTTTATCTTGAATTATGGTTCAGAAATTCCAATAGTTTCCTATGTATACTATTTTTTGGCATATTTTTGCTAGGCTCTTAAATATTCAATTTTTTGTTCTAATTAGCTGATTTTATGTCGCTGTAAGTTCCAAGATAGTAATGTTAAGATACGATATAAAAAACTCACGGTAGATATAAAATTAAAGCCGATTTTTCTTTTCTTAAAAATAAAAAAATAAGATTTATATCGTAAAATCACAGTGTAAATTGCAAAAAATTATTACGTTATTGCTAGGTATGTTACATTAAACCGGCCAAACAAAAATAATCACAGCAAAACAAAAAAGTAAGTATAAATTTTCGAAAAATTTATCTTTTTAATTTTTTTAGAAAAGATTGTTTGCATATTCTCTATATATCATTCATACAATTTTTACTCTAAAAACAATTAGATATATATTTATATACAACCTAAATTTAAGTAATTTTGAAATACCGAAACTGTTATTTCGATACTTCTTCATAACACTTATAACTATACATTGTTTAATGATTTTTGTAGGTGGGCACTTTTAAAGTGCATTAATATTATCATTATTATGGCCTAGCCATCAAATTATTATACTGAGCGCAATAAACGCAATTGAACAAAAACAAAAGACTATTTGGCACATTATTGATTTTAAAGATCAAACTCAGTACGTCAAGTATTCTATCCAGGAGGAAACAGTAACACGGACAACCGAAAAAAGGTGTATGGAATTTTGTGTAAACTTTTTTTATCAATTTTGCGTTTTAGAAATTATTATATTCGTTCAGAGGATTGTCTGTAGTATCTGTAAACTTAATCGAAATGTATAATTCCAAAATACTTTATCTGTATAGTTCCTGATTAGGGAAAATATGTAGAAAAAACCCAGGTTGAGTTTGAACAGTTTCCTCAACTTAACATGGAAGTTACTTGTATCTGTAGATACTTTACTATATACACATACATATATATATATATATATATATATATATATATATATATATATATATACGATGATTATACTACGTTTGTGACTACATATCCCCCCAATCTCACATCAAGCACAACCCGTAAAAGGGCAGAGCATAAGATTAAATACTTATGTCAATGTTATTTATTTTAAAATCAATATATTTAATTCTTTATTTAAAGTTTCAATTTATTTACAACAGAAGGAGTTGAATATGTGTAAACTCAAAATTAAAGCCCCGATATGGCATATTTTGTTTACTGCAAGTCTAAGATTGGACATATTATCAAAAAATAAAAAAATACAAAAAAACTGGTATAGAAGTTTGTCAGAAGTTAGTTAAAAAAATACGTATAAATAGCGAATGACGTTTAAAAAAAAGAAAAGTTAATACTTAGAATAGAAATAATAATTAGATAGAAATACCAACATAGTATTACCGTGAAATCAGAGAAAAAGCACGTTTAAGACAATAGAAATTATTTCCAAAATAAAAACCAAAAGCCAGAGTTTAATTTGAATTAAATGTATTGTCGGTTTCACCATTTTTGGCCGATTTGATAGTAAAAGCCACCAAAGTAAGATGGAACTGTCAATGAAATTACCAATTGCGGAGAGAAGTCTAAATTAAAATTTATCAATTGCAATCGAATCACTGGACCAGTGCACTCAAACCAGTGGAATTCTTAAAATATTGTTATATATAGCTAATAGATCATTTTCGATCTGTATTAGATTATTTTGATACTAAAATTTACTAACTTTATAATTAGCACTATTTTGTAGAGCGTTACCACATGGTAACGCTAGCCAGTTTTGGGTACAGATGTTAATTTCCTGTTATTTGTTTCAGGCGAGGTTTTACGTTAGAAGAGGTCTTGAACATAGTTTATAATTTTTAGAGCAAAGATTTTTATAGAGCCTCCAGAATAAAATATTCTCACGGATGAAGACGAAAAAGATAATGGAGGTATTGTTGACAATATTAACAGACAGCTAACAGCCCCTGTTAAAGTACGATTTCATACTTAACTTGGATAAATGGAGATTAAGTTTATTCTGCAAGACAATTTCCAAAACAAAATGATGCACGATTCAAAAGCTTATTACCTGTTGAAGTTTTTGAAAAATTTTTAGATGATGATATAATTCAGTTCATTGTTGATGAATCAAATAAATATGCAATGTTCCTGAATGACCCAAATCCTTCCATCACGCTGGATGAAATACAATGTTGCTTTATTATCTTTTTATTGGGATATGTCGAATTAACTGGTCGAGACTTTTACTGGGACTCTCAAGATGATATGCGAAATCAAATGGTAAGTCAAGCTATGCGCCGAGATAGATTTCGTAAAATTCTAAGATAGCTGCAATGTGCAGATAACAACAAAACAGACAAATCTGATAAAATATGGAAATTGAAACCGTTGATGGATAAGTTGAAAAAATTTTTTTAGATCACTGGATTCCAGAACAAAACTTGGATTAAGACGAATCCATGATTGAATATAACCGATTTATGGGAGGTACTGATTTGTTAAATAAGATTCTTTAAGCTATAGGATAAGTATTAGACGTAAAAAATGATGGTGGGCAATCTTCACATGGTTGTTAGATGTTGCTATGGTAAATGCATGGAATGTTTACAGGAAGACGGAACCTATATCTGAACTAGATTTTAGGAGACCATTAGTACAAACATATCTTACCAAATATGGGACTCCCCCAAAAGCCGTTGGAAAACCAGCAATATCACGTTCCAGTGTGACATTTAACAGAGTGTCAAATGATCTACGATATGATAGTCGTAAACATTTACTTGTGCCTAATGAAAATAAGAAAAGAAGAAGATGTGCTGAGGAAGGGCGTTCATTTAATGTACGTTGAAATGTGACGTTAGGTGTCACATATGTATAGAATTTAATAAAATATTCCATACCAAATAATTTGTTATTACATATTAGGCTAGCGTTACCATATGGTAGCAGTCCAATTTTTGTCAATAAAGTGTGTTCCTATCATATATTTTTTTAATTTTCCTAAAATATATAGTCTTAATAACTCGTTGAATAATCTCCTTTCACTAAAATAAAAAAATCGCCGTTAAAGGGTTAAGTAAAGACTTCCGAATTGAATAATTTCTATTTACAGTGACAAAATCAGTGAAATGAACTATAGATATTTTCCCACAAGTTTGAAATTAAAATAAACATTTTCGAATTAGTTAAATGGTTTTTAGAAGCTATTAAATATTTCGTTTTATGTATGAGCTAGTACAAATATCTAGCTCTATCTTCTTCTTCTTTAAGTGCCGTTTCCGTATTCAGACGTTGGCCGTCATCATGTTTACAATTTCCTGAAACCTTTCTCTGTCGGCTACTGTGCGAAATTGTTCTTCTACTGTGGAACCACACCATTGTCTAATATTACGCAGGCATGAAAGTTTCTTTAGATCAATCCATGTCTTTCCTTCTACTTTTCCTTGTATTATAAGGCGAAATAGATGGTATTTAGGTCATCTAATTATATGGCCGAAGTATTCTGTTTTTCTCCTCTTTATGGTGTTTATGAGCAGACGTTCTGAATGGATCATTTGAAGAACATGTTCATTGGAAGTGTGCGAAACCCACGATATCTTTAGGATTCGTCTATAGCACCACAATTCGAATGCTTCTAACTTGTTTAGCATTGTGGTTTTTAACGTCCATGTCTCACAACCATACAATAGGATGGACCCCACATAACATTTCAGGACCTTCTTACGAATATTCATCGACAGGTTTCTGTTGCATAAAACTGGTTTCCAGGTCATAAAAGCCTTACATGATATTTCGATCCTGGTTATTATCTCTTCATCAAAGTCACAATTTACATTGAACCAGCTGCCAAGGTATTTGAAATGATTAACCCTTTCGATCTCTTCTCCATTAAGAGAAATCAGACCTTGATCTATATTGATCTTTCCAACTGCCTAGCATCTAGCTCTATAGACAGAGTTTTTATTCTTATGAATTTTAAGTATTATACCAAGGCTTCAAATTTAATTTATCAATTCGTTTTTATTTCCAACTACGGCTAATAAAATAATATTAATAATAGCCTAAAAAATATAGACATGAAAAAATTGAAAAAAATTATTTTTGGAAAAGAAAACCGTACGTTGTATTTACTGATCAAGGCTAGACGTTATCAATGAGAACATTTTTGTAAAAGAGCGTTAAATTATAACAGTTAACAGCCTATTATTTTTATATTCTATATTTCTGCCAGTTCATAAAACAACCGGTGAGTAGAATTTATTAAACTGGGATTACTCAAGTTATTTAAAATTCCAAGATTGTATAAAAATTTCTATAAAAGTATATTTGATTTGTAAAAGTATATGGATTTGTCTATAAATAGAAGTTTCAACAATAGTATCCACTTTTTTTATCGGTTTTATATGGAACTCGTTTGAACAATAAACGATTTTTTAGGTTTACCATGTCACTGTTTTCCTGTTCTGCTAAATTAAAACTAAAAACACAACAACTTTGTACTATTTCTCATAATTTTAAAAGGCGGACAGACCCGTGCGTATATAAAAAGCACCTTTTTCATTTGATAAAAAATATTTTAACAAAAAGAAAAGCTACAACTACAACTGATACCAACACGACTGCCCGCCTTTTACTTCTACTTTTTATGGTACAATTAAAAGCTAAAATCCCCATCTACCATCATTATTACGACCAATTTTTATTCCTAAAGATGTTAAAACTTTTTTAGCGTATATTAAAATAGATTTTTTAGTTATCATCCACTTATTGTTTAGTTGTCTCATTAATATGTAAAATTCTTATAAAAAACTTCGGTTAAACTTTTTCGTAATTGTCCAAATATAGGTAGTAGGTTTTAGCTTTCAAAAGTATGTACAGCGTAACGAAAAAATGAGACATTTTTTTAAAAGGTATCCTTACGTATTATGCGTTCAGTAGTAGCTAAAATTTCATGGTTGTTGATTTTGTTGTTGGGTCGATAGCGGAAACCCTAACGTTCTCGGATCGCTACCGTGTAGCCTTAAGGCTTGCTCTAACCTTTGCTCTTGCAGCCTTAAGGCTTCAGTAAGATCAGGACTTAGTTGTTGCGACGATTGACCTTGATGACCCTGGTAATTTCCTAAAAACACAAGCATAAATCAGTAAAATTTACGTTAAAAATGTCCATCTATTCATAAAAATAACTTAAGAGATATAGGCGGTTAGTAAGATATTATTTTCAAACAGCAATATTTACGGTTATACAGAAGAGTCCTAGTTTGAGATTGAATTACATCTATAATTATATCCAAGGTACCGCTTAGGAGATATAGCAACTCTGCGAATTTAATTCTATAATTTGGTTTTTGATAGGTGCAATACGAGGTCTGGCTATTAAATAACGAGACTGTGAGCGCAGAAACTGCACGGGAAACGAATTCAGCATTGGATAGCTGAAAGTGTCTGCTCTTCTAGTACTAAACCACGTTGTTGTCGCTGTAGTAGCATTTTTTCTGTAGAGGTTAGAAAAGAACGTGTTTTTTCTCGTGCCGAGAACAACGTTTTTTCTCGTTGAATTAAAAACAACTCCGACTAAGTGCTATAATTTGTTAAAAGAGGCGTATTTTGAGAATTCTCTTCTCGTGCGCGTATTTTCAAATGATATAAACCGTTTCCTGAAGGCCGAGAGAGCGCCGAAGATGACCAACGTCCAGGTCGACCTGTTTCTGTTACAACTCAGCAAACAGTGACCAAAATAAATGAAATTGTGCGCGAAGATCCTCGCGTGAGCATTCGGATGATTGCTGAGGCTGTAAACGCCGATAAAGAAACTGTTAGAAAAATTTTACATGGCGAATTGAACATGAAGAAAGTCTGTGCGAAGTTGGTCCCAAAAATTTGACCCCTGACCGAAAGCTCGTCCGTCAACAGAGCTGCTCAGATTTTCTCGAGAGGTTACATGAAGAGCCTGAATTAATGAAAAACATCATCACTTGCGATGAAACCTGAATATTCAAATATGATGCTGAAACTAAGCGACAATCCATGCACTGAAAAACTCCTGCATCGCCAAGAATAAAAAAAGTGAGGATGTCGAAATCAAAATTTAAAGCAATGCTAATCGTTTTTTGATATTAACGACAAAGTGACGACTGAATGGGTCCCAGAGGGTCAAACTGTAAACCAAACTTACCATTTGAGAGTTATAGCAACTCTGAGAGAGCGAGTTCGTAAGAAACGACCGGAGTTGTGGAAAAACAAGTTGTGGATCTTGCACCAGGACGGCGCACCTGCCCATAACGCGCTGTCTGTGAAGCATTACTAAGCCGCTAGAGGCATTTTTGTGCTCGAACACCCGCTGTACTCGCCTGATTTAGCACCTTGTGACTTTTTCCTGTTTCTGAAGATCAAATCTGCCTTAAAAGTAATCCGGTTGGAGTCGATGGAAAAGGCGAAGCGAAAAACAGCGGACTTCCTAAAAGCTCTAACAAAAGAAGACTTCCAGCATTGTTTTGACCAATGGAAGAAACGAATGGAACGGTGTGTGGCGGGGAAGAGAAATATATTGAAGAAGAGCATTCGATTGTAGAATAATTTTTAAAATAAAACTCTTTTTCATAAGCAGTCTCGTTATTTAATAGCCAGTCGTATGTACGATAGTAGTAGATATCATGATTGAAGAAGAGTATATTTTTCCAGTGGATACTTTAAAACTTTAAAACATAATATTTTATTTTAACACATTTGCAACATATTAGATAAAACAACGGATGGCAGTTTTATCTAATATAAATATTAGGTATTGGTTGGTAGCAATGCTTGTAATACTAGTAATGCTTAATGACTAGGAAGTAATGCTTAATGAACTTGTACAGGAAACTAAAGATATGGTATTGCCAATAAACAAAAGTAAAACAAATTTTTTGACGAACTTGGTCATGAGAGGGACAATACAATAGAAAGGAACACAATAAAAGCGATTACACATTAAGTATATCTTGGTCATGACTTAAAAATCATAATACACAAGAAATATAAAAAAAATTGGTCTAGGTTGGGTTGCATAGAGCAGATTGAAGAAAAAATTCAATAATGAAATCTCTATGAGTATTAACTGAGAATCGCACAAAGGAAAATGTAAAGATCAACATCAGGAATTAAATTTAGAGACCGCGTTAAAAACTAAGAGATTCGCATATGAATGCGAAAAGAAAATTAAATTAAGATTTGCTTGGTAACACTGCTTAGCAATGATGAATAGACTAAAAGATCGTTGGAAAGGAGAACCCATCAAGATAAAAGAAGCCGGCGAAGATCAGGTTCTTACATGCTCTTCTGTTTTTTGTTATACTTTTTGCTTAGTTCCATTTTAGGTTACTTCTTTTAGTTCCATACAAAGAATACTACAGTGCAAATATGTTCAATTGTTAATTTCTTTTTAAGTTTTTCGACCAGACTAATCCTATAATTAGTCTGTAAAATTTAGATCACCATACTAATTTTTAAAAATAAATGCACTATTTTGAAAAAAAAAATCTAAATAAAAGACCTTGACTAAAATAACTTACCATTATGGCGCAGCGGACTATGACTGCTCTCTTGTTGGTGTTGACTAAGCTGAGGCAGCGCTTGGCTCATAGCCAGTCGTAGAGCTGTCTCTGCTTGTGACCTAATTAGCGCTTCAGCGTGTTGCATTCTAAGAGCTTCCTGTTGTTGTTGCGATTGCTGAGACGAGGACATATCCATTACGGATGACCTCATCACGTCCATATTTCGAATGCTGTCCATAGAGGCGCGCATGGCATTCATTGCGTTCATAGAAAGCGATAAGGTGTCGTTGGTGATAGGAGGCGTCGATGGATTACTAGAGTTGTTTACTTGGTTTGCCTAAAACATAATTTTAATTAATAATCAAATAAAACTAACGAATCTATTAAAAGATCTTTGTTCGGTTTAAATGTTCGGGCCTAGAAATTCATGATCTTGTTGCAAGACATTCATTCGTATTTGCGGTTCATTATTACATCTTTTCAAATTATCTTGAGCATATGATAGGGAATCCTTATAATGTAGAGGTTCCTATGATGCATAACTACTCATCATCTATATGCATATGAACGATACAGCAAAAAGTAGTGATAGTCAAGAAAAACTAATAAACTCCATGTGATAATAAAATTGCATTTGAGCTAAATGTTAAGCCAATAATATAGTGTTATTAGTACTAGATACGGTAATATAGAAGTTGCTAAGAGACATTACATGTTTAATTTATACATATATATCTAAGGGGGTCCTACAGCCTCTGTCTCATCCCGCATTTCGATCTCCACCTTTTTCGGTCTGTACATTCCTTCTCATTTATGGCTCTATCTCTCTTATTCCTCTTATTCCTTTTCTCCATTCTAATGCTAGTCTTCCTCTTCTTCTATCTTATGGAACATATTTTAAGGCCTATGTTAGCCATCATTCGTCTTCCATTCTCATTACATGCCCGTACCATAAAAGTTGTTTGAATTCTATTATATCTGTGGTATTATGAATCCTTCCTGTTCTTTTCCATTAATTTGTGCAGATGAAAAATAACGGAAAGAAATTGGAACAAATCCAGTAGCAATGGAGAAAGACTCTTGAAGAAAATTATTTAAAAAGAGGAATGAGGATCCCATGGCCTTTCCAATTGTACGTAAAATTAATTATTTGTATTTAAAATGTTATTTACCTATCACATTAAGTAATAGCAGGTGATTAAAAAAATTCTTCATCTTTAGGTACAGTCTACTCTAAGGAGGTTGGTAATCATCGCAGCTATTTTCGCTTTTGAGATTGCAGCTCTGAACAAGTCGATGGAACTGCAACTATACCACTTGCTCAGATTGTTGAGCCAGGAGATGCGTCTTCTTCCAATACTTTGTTTTCCCTGTATTTTCCCCTGCATTATGGTTTGTAGCAACACATATTTATCCTTTCTCATAACGTGACCGAGATATTGTAACTTTCTTATCTTAATCGTATTCATGATTTCCACTTTCTTTGTCATCTTTCTGAGGACCTCAACATTCGTTATTCGGCCTACCCAACTTATTTTTAATATTCTTTGGAAGGTCCACATCTCGAATGCTTCAAGTCGATTGCTCACCCCTTTCTTTACGGTCCAGGCCTCAACCCCATACAGCAGCACCGAAAACACATATAAACGCAATGTTTTGAGTTGCAAACTAAGGTCTGTACTGCATAATACTTTTCTCATCTTATTAAATATGGCTCTAGCTTGTCCAATTCTCATTTTTATTTCTTCTGTATACTTGTTATTTTCATTAATAGTTGTCTGTATACAATTGTCCAAGCCAAACAAAAAAAATTATATAGATATCTCTAGTGTTAAGATATTTGTATTTTTTTACTTTTTCTATTTTAACCCCTCTTATGCTTCTCCTAAATCATTCCAGTGTCTTCTATTTTGCGCCACTTGCTTCCAGTTGTGTCCTTCGATCTTCTTAATATCATCCGACCATCTGATTTGTGGTCTTCCTCTGCTTCTCTTTCCTAACCATGGTCTCCATTGTTGTATTTCATGGTTCCATCTCTTATCCTTCAGTCGGGCATTGTGTCCTGCGAAGCTCCATTTTAATTTAGCAGCATGTTATCCTGCGTCTTTTACTTTCGTTTTGCTTCTAATCCATTTGTTTGTTTTTTTTTTGTCTATAAGTCTCACCCCGAGCATTGATCTTCCGAATACAGATTGAACAATAAGGGGGAGAGTAGTAGAAGTCTTTTTTATCAATGTCTTTATCTTTAAGTAACTGTATGAGACGGTTGTGTCGGACCTTATCGAACGCCTTATTGTAATCAATAAATAAAAAAAAAATAAAGTGACTGTAATTGTAATTAAAAAGTTTTGCTAATAATTACCTGTGTTACACCAAGTCTCATCGCTAAATTGGCAAGATTTGCGGCAGTTATATTGGCAGCAGCAGATGAATCCGAACCTAAACCAGGTGGCACTCCACCTTGGTTAACCATATTCGCTAAAACGGCCATTCGGTTCGCCGTGTGTAATTGATCTTCTACATTATATTGTTGATGAAGTCCATTGTTGCCTGTAAAGAAATAATATAAGTTAATTTTGGAGGCTTGTGAATTGGGATATTTCAATATTATTCTTTATACTTTTATATTTTGTACATCATATACTATTCACAGAGATTTAAAGAGTGATTATGAAAGAAAAAATCTTCGGTAAAAATATAATATAATCAATACATAATGTGAATATGACCATCTAACGAAAGAGTTTGGTGTAATGAGCTCCACAATCTAAATACGATGACTACTACGATATTTAAAATAACCTCATCAATGAAAAAATATAGAAGGCAAAAGAAAACTCAAAAAATAATAACTTTAAAGTGTTTAACTGTTAAGATGAAGCTTTAGGTTTTCTGCAAAGCTTCGGTATTTTAAACGTAAAATTCTCAACTCACTTCGTAAGATATCACCTAATTTTGTATTGCAGTTATTGTTGTTGTTGTTGAGTCCACCTTCCGAGCCTGCTGAAGATAATCTTCCGTTACCAGAGGAACTATCGCTATGAGCGCTGGGAGACGCACACATTGGACTGCCACTCGCTGAAAAATCAACTAAAATTAATAAGTCTATGATTCTTTTCCTATTTAAGAGTTTATCTTTGTTTAAAATACAGAAATTTGACAAATATTCTTATGACATTTACATAAATGTTCGTTTAGGTCGCTAAAGGATCTCACATAGTTAATAACATCATTTATTTAGCGTATGGCATAACACATGGTAAGTTTACATAATATATAAAAATGAGTCAGTAAATAAGCCATTGCAGTGAATGGGTTAAAATCAAAAATGTAAGTATATACATAAAAAAGAATTTATTAAAAGATCAAATTTAGCTAGCAATTCAAGATTGGAATGTGTGTTATGGTAAAAGTCCTTTAAAGGATTAGAAATGCTTCATACTCTGTCACTATGTGGTCAATGGTTTGGTTTAAATTTCCGCAGTCGCAACCTGGATTAAGTCATTTTTCTCAATTTATGGAGGTTATCGGTATTCATACCGTGTCCTATTCTGATGAGGTTCAATGTCTTCCAGATGCCGTGGTTAGTTGAAGCCATCAGGTTTTACAACTGGGTCAATTACATTCCGTACATCGGGTGAGGCACTTTCAGTCCTGAGAGCTTTCATTCGAAGTTGTTGCTAAAGCTATTTGCTGTCAATGGTACTAATAATATTGGCAGCTTCCTAGATCGAAGCCGGTTTACTGCTCGCTCCGAGGTATACTCAAGGATGGGAAGTTGTGTGTTACTAACTATATTCTATATTCTATCAGGGCGTCTTGTCTTCTTAGTTCAGGTGGGAATATGTGGCTGAGTGTTGGGAACCAATAAGATAAAGTAGTTGTGATGCATCGACTAATCGTTCTCATTGTTATATTAAATTAAGTGTTCACTTTCTTTGTATGTGCGCCATATCCATACCAGTTCAAAAAACTTGGTCAGAGAATATAATATATTAGATTAATTACAGATGTTCACAATGTACTTTCTGATATTCCACAGATAGTGCTACAAAGTGTCTGAATAAGGTTTTTTCAGATAATTATTTTTGAGCTGTTCTTTCTTTCGAGGTGCTTTTTGAATAATAAACTTTGGTGCCGAGATATTTTGAATACCGTTGATGGCGTGGTACTGTGTTATTCAACTAGACCTCTCGTTTGATTAAGGTCCTTGATCAACGGGTTTTTGGTAGGTTCATTGTTTGTGTAATGCAGCTAAGGCTAGATCAGCGACACTAGTGACAATACACCAATATGGCGAATATGGGAAGAATATACGGGTGGTAGCCCAGAAGGCAGCGAAGAGTGCGGCTGCGATGAGGAGGGTGATGCTTAACATTGGAGGATTCAAATCAGAAATAGAGAGGGCCTCATACGCTCTTGTGCGGTCAATCATTCTTTACTCGGCACCAGTCTGGAATAAGGCGGTAGAGATACTTATAATACGAGTAGACGGAACAAATCTGTTCCGAAAAGCATGCGCCTATTATCTGCCCCCTGTATCTGCGGCGGCCTTGTGGACTGTCACGGGTTGTGTTCCTCTGTATGTGTTAGCAGTAGAAAGGAGATATCTCTATGAGAGAAAAGAGCATTTGACAACAGCCATAAAAAAAAGAAAGATAAATATCAATGGAAATACGGCAAGAAGAGTGAAACAACTCGGAAAATGTTGCCTAAAGGTAACACCCATAGGTACGATTTTTAGAAATTTCCACCTTCAGAAAAAGAAAAAAAAGCTAAAGCTCGATCGTCAGCACAGTCAAAGTTTCTAACATTAGTTTCAGAAAGGTTTTAGATACATGGATTAAATAATATAAGGTTCAGAATTAATCTTTAAGTTAAACTATTGTTGAAAATTGAAAATAACTGTCAAAAAGCATTTTGTTTAACGGTCGCAGTGTGATATAATAAGAGATCTCTTTCGCCAGTTTATATATGAGCCCTTCTTTCCACACTGTATTGTAGACAGTGGTCAGTTTCAGGAAAATTACAGCTGTTTTTGTTGTTTTTGGACGACCTCTTCAATATGTGTAGTTAGGCTGAGTACTAAATCTATACAGCTTCGATTAGGTCTCAAGCCTTATTCTAGTGGACAATTTTCCAGAATTGGTGTGCCTATTCTGTTAAAGAAAACTCGTTCTAAAAGTTTATAAAAATAGTTAAGAACCACTGTAGAGCGGTACTTTTCGACTTTCTCTCATGGTTTAGTGGGTTTTAGTTCAGCAATTAGTTAACTCGCTTTAAAAGCTTTTGACAATATTTTAAATGTTAAGATGTGCTGATAAAATGTTGTCAGCCATTTCTTTTTCTTTTTTTCCGCAGTGGAGTA